TAGCATGGTGGTAGTGTAATTATGCTCTCACTCCCCCCCCCCCCCCCTCTCTCTGCGTCGCGACGCCAGAGCTCTACCAAACTCAGCTACCATGCTTGAACGCTAGCGTCGCTGGCTGGCTTGAATTCTCTCAGGAGAGTGGGGTGTCACTCTACCACCATCTGAGTTTGGTAGAGCTCTGGCGATCCCGTTGCTGCCTGCCTTGAACTCTCTCAAGAGAGTACTCTAACACCACCACCTGGGCCTGCAGAGGAACGGATCAGGGGCCCCAACCCACCTCCCCTAACCCACCCCCCCTCTGCGTCGCTCCGTGAGAGCCGATACCCATCTGTCACGCAAAAGGGGACAGAGGGGTCGCGGCCCACTGGCTTGTTGACTTTTTTTTTTTTTTTTTTTTGTTTGTTTGTTTGTTTTGTACGCACTGGTTGACAGGTAACTGACGACGGTCAGAATATGCCGGTCATCAGGTCATCATTGCACGAGGCCAATTGTATGATGGATTGCCGCCGCCGATAGCTGTTTTAATCTTCTTCGACCAATGGAGGTCGCGTTTGGGAGAATTTTCGTGTTGGTTTCTCTCTCCTCTCATCCTCTATGATTGCTATGTTTCTTCTTCCTCCTCTCTGCGATGGTGTGATGTGTTTGATTGTACGACTCTCGTTTGACGGTCTGGTGTGCCTATCTATCTATGCGCCGTCTGGTCAAAAGAGCAGTTAAACTTCGTGTTGATTTGGTTAACGAATCTACCTGGCTTTCCTGGTTCAATGCTTGCCCGCCTGTTTACGTCGTCCTTCGTCAGCACGTACATTTTGCCTCTTATCACGTGGCGTTCGCAGATATTATTGATTGTAATTGATTGGTTATGTAATCACCGATTGCTTGCTTGCTGGCTTGTTTGCTTGCTTGCTTGCTTGATTGATTGATTGATCGGATCAACAATTGATCGATTAGTGTAATCAAAGAGTTGCGTACGAACATAGCAGATGCACGTCACGGGGTTGGGAATAGGGTTTCATCGGAGAATAGATGAATTTGGAAAAGCGCGCGGCTTTGCTGTCGGGCTGGCCAACTGCTCCCCACTGCAGTCGGCTTCTGGATGGGCACTTGGTCCCATCAACGGCCTGGGTGGCCACTTGGTCCGATCAACGGCCTGGGTGGCCACGTGCTCCGATCAACGGCCTGGGTGGCCACGTGCTCCGATCAACGGCCTGGGTGGCCACGTGGTCCGATCAACGGCCTGTCGGGGGGTCGCAACCCGCAACGGAGCGATTCAAACCACCCATCGCGTGGATGAAAAGAACCCACCGATCCTTGCGCGTTTCCATCGAGCCGTGGAGCCAGCGATCGTGGCTTTTCCATCCATGGCTTGGATCCAAGCCATCGATTCCAAGGGCGTCGCCGCACGGGACACGAAACGAAAAACGAAACGAGTGCATCTTCCTGCAGAAAATGGCCAGGTTCATCGGTTTGCTATAAATGGTAACGAGTGTATTTTGCCACCTTTCGTGGGCAGATGCACTGGTTTCGTTTTCGTTTCGTGTGCCGTGCGGCGAGACCCCAAGTCAGGGATCGCTGGCTTGTATCGAAGCCAGGGGGATGTAAAAGCCGGCGGTCCATTCCGAGCCAGCGATCGGAAAGCCTGGGATGATGTCTCAAAAAATGAATCCAAAAGCCACGGATCGATCCCTGGCCATTGGATCCAAAAGCCAGGGATCGATCCCTGGCCATTGGATCCAAAAGCCAGGGATCAATCCCTGGCCAGGGATCGATCCCTGGCCATTGGATTCAAAAGCCAGAGATCGATCCTTGGCCATTGGATCCAAAAACCAAGGATCTATCCAATCTCGGGCTAGTGCGATTGGGGTATCGGGCTCTTGTCAAAGGGACCTTTTTTTTTTTTTTCAAGGGTCAAACAGAACTGCCCGGTAAACCGTAGGTGGCAGAGAGGGAGAAGAGGGAGAAGAGGACAACAAACGACGGGCTGTGACGAACTGTTTCGTCGGAGTTTCACCGACTCATATGACAATATATACACAGTGTGACAGTATATGTATATATATCTGGCCTTTGGATCCAATGACCAGGGATAGATCCCTGGCCCTTCGGATGTACGGGGGAGGCAAACTTACTAGTGTAAAAAAGACTAGTCTTTTTTATTCAGGGATCGATCCCTTGCCTGGTCTGTTTCTTGCCGTAATGAGACAGAGTTTTGATTAAGTGTGATATCGGGATCGGGTCAGGTAGACGATCGGGTGAGATCTTCTGCGATGACCAGGTCCGTATCTAGTGATCGTAATTCGAATCCGATTGGATAAAAGATTTTACTTTTACACGACTGGATCGGATCGGGTAGGATATAATCAGATCAGATCAGATCTATTAGGACCAGATCAGATCTAATCAGAACCAGATCAGATCTAATCAGAACCAGATCCGATCTGGCCAGATCGGAGATCGGATCTTATTGAACGGGCTTAGGGCGGACGGCACTCCAAGCGGATAAAATATGATGAGATCTTAACCAGATCGGATTCAGCTTATGATCCTTCGACGAGTGTACGGTAAACAGAAAGACAGGGAAGAGAGGAGGGGGGGGGAGAGAGAGGGAGTCAAGGGGCGAAAGAGAGGGGCCGAACTATGAGGAAGAGAGGCGCTTAGCAGGGGGGACGGAAGGGGAGGAGCCGTAATGTTTCGTCTACAAGAGCGCAATGACTACTCTGTGCGCGCGCACGCTCACAACACACACCCAATTTTTACATTCGTTCTTGTCATTCCTCCCGTTCTTGTTTCTTTTCCTTTACATTTTCCCCGTTGCTGGGGTCTTTCGTTTTGCGGGCCTACTGTATGGTTCCGTTTTTTGACTATGGATATGGTAGATTTGTTGTGGTATTTAAGAAAACATTAGAGTAAGGACAAGGGAAGGAAGGCGTATTAGTCAATCAAACTAAATGACATATCCCATTTTTTATGTAATTTCGCCCCTTGTTGGGGTATTTTGTTTTGGTGTGGTAATCTTGTCTGCATCCCGGTTGGTCTTGTCCCGTTATTCGGTCTATATTCAGTCAGCAGGTAGCGGTGCTTCATGTGGGACTGACCAGTCATCCGGGGAGGGGGGGGGGTATTGTCTTGGCAGCCTGGTTGGTTGTTTCCCGTTGTTCGGCCTTTCGAGC